AATTTTTAGAAAAAAAATTTTACAAAAACAAAAAATTTTTAGAAAAAGAGTTTTACAAAAGAAGAAGAAAAAGAAGACAGACAAAAAGAGAGGTAATGGGAAAGAGCTGGGTTGGGGAAACAGGGATGGGGAGTGGGGACTACCTAGAATTCATCAGAAGTGGCAGAAGCGAGCAAGCTCAGAGCACTCTGCCAACTCCCTCAAAAGTTGACCTCTTCGACTATAACGCAGCGAAGAGATACTCTTGATACTATAGTAAAAATGTATTGTCTTATTTGTATATTTTCATAATTCGATTAAGAATTATACAGCATCTAATAATGCATAACTACAATACGAATAGAAAAGCCGCAATACCACTTGCATATGGAGCATGTATGCATAAAAGAGACGAAACTATTGAGAACATTTGCACAAAAGCTATAATAGAACTTGCGTATAGAATATTTATGCGGAACAGAGACGGAATTATTATACAAAACAGTAGTAGAATCAAATAATGTAAACACAAGATATTTGTAAACAAAGAGAACTTTTGTAGAAAAGTTTTATACGAACAAGCATATAGAACATGTAAGCAGAACAGAGACGGAATTATTATACGAAACAATAGTAACATCTAATAATGCAAATACAAGATATTTGTAAACAAAAAGAACTTTTGTTCAAAATTTGTAAGATCATTTTATGAAAGCTTTTGTACAAATATTGTGTACAGAATTTGCTTATAGAACGTGTAAGATGAACAGAGACGGAATTATTATGGAGAATATTTGTAAACAAAAAGAACTTCTGTTCAAAATTTGTAAGATCACATATTATGAAAGCTTTTGTACAAAAATTGTGTACAGAACTTGCTTATAGAACGTGTAAGATGAACAGAGACGGAATTATTATAGAGAACAATAAACAGTGAAAAATGCTAAATATATATATAAACAATGTAATAATGTCTTCCAATCCTTCGTATAATAAGAAAGTTAATAATAATTGCTACGTTTTCTCTTGCAAATTATTATACGTGTAAAGGACTTTTCTTATGAACTTATCTGCAGACATAATATAAACAGATTCATGAGCACCACTTTGCCGAATTTAATGGAGAATTTCTTGGCAAACCTGCAAAAGAATGAAATTTATATTATCCAAGATGATTTTTACGAATTAGCCAATTAAAGTAACATTTACATAACTTTTTGTTTTTTGTTGAGCCGATAGTGTTCCTCCTTTTTAATTAATTGCCCCAGTTTTTATATGATACTATAATTAAGATAAAACAACATGTTAGTAAAGCATAATAAGAATTGATTTCACTATCGAAAACACCACGAGCCTCCCCCAGGATATAGCAATAAATTAATTATAATATTATCCATAATGTCAATGTAACTAGAACGCTGGGAAGGTATACCCTCTGCTGATTCATTATGGAAAGTTGGTAGGCAAGTTCAAATGTTTCCAAAGGTACGTTTCTTAAAAGGTACTTTGACAGGATTTTTTTAATTGACCATTTAGAGATCACATCTGAAATGTACGATAAAATCAATGATTTAATCTATGAACTAAATGTTATATCGCCCACTTTTTTACATACCGTTCTGCCGTAAGTGGAATACAAATTGCATCTTAATATCAGGATTAGGGCAAATTCTAAGAGGGCGTCATGTCCACAACATACGTCTTGAAGCTCATTCAGCTCATTCATCTCTAATTGCCTTATGCGAAATGAATTCTTCATCGTCGATGCATAGCAATATCCTTTTATATTTTTCGCCTTTAAACTGTAGATCAAAATTTTAAACGTGGAAAACAAGCTGTTTTGTGACTTTCCTGTCCTTTTTCTTTTTTTTATTTATTTAGTTTTTTATATTATATTACAAAATTTATTTTTTATAATTTATACATGTTTTTATTACAAAATACATGGACATAAAAGTACATGTATTATAGGTAAAAAAATTAATTATTATTATTATTATTATTATTATTAGTATTATTACTATTATACACACTAATATTTATGAACTAACAATTATTACAGAAATATCGTACACGTACATACATCCTATCCTTATAACATTTATGGATTGCTTTTAATGTGACTTTAAGTAAAAAAAAAAAATAGACTAAATACCGCACCCGTCAGCAAAAACTTTTTTTAAATAAATAGATTTCTCTTCGTCAAAGTGGTAAAAAAAAAAAAAAAAAAAAAAAAAATTCTAATAATAATAATAATGATAACAGTCCTTTAAAGAAAAATTTTTATTACTATGCTTATTATTGATAAACATATGCATGTTTTGTACTGTGTTGTTTGTTGCTCAAAGTTGTTTTTATTAATTTTTAGTATTTTCTCTTTTTCTATATAAAAAAAAAGAAAAATTTTTTTTAAAAATGTGAGGAAACCTTAAATAAAAAATTTATGAACTGTTCTTCACTCTTACTCTCATGACACGCACGTTTGAAGCGATGAAAATGAAAATGGTTCATAATTTAATTCGATTTGATATATTAGTTATTTAGAAATTTGTTTCAAGAGGAAAATTAAAATAATTCAATTCGAAAAATTAATACAACTTTACGTTGTATTTTTTTTTTTTTTTTTTTTTTTTAGTAGTATTATGTGTTAAACATTAAATTATTATTATTTTAGTTTTGTTCTCTTTATTTGATCTCACATACGTGTCCATTCAAGAGAGCAAAGAAAACTATTTATTATAGTAATTAAAATAAATAATAATAAAAGTTCTTCGCAGAAATATTTAAAAATATTTAAGCAAAATTTATGCGTTTCAAGTTGCAACGCAACTGCAGGGGAACCGTTATTTCAGCATTTATAAGTGAATTTGTGATTTTAGTAAGGAGAGAAAACAAAAAAAAATATCAAAAATAATAATAAATAAATAATGATAATAATAGTAAATTATTCTGAAAACATTTACATTTCCATTTAAATATTTTCTATTAAACAGCGTGGCTACTATTAGGAATTTGGAAAAAAAAAAAAAAAAAAAAACATTTTCAGAGATAATTTTATATTGAAAAAGACTTATATTAAAATATTTCCAATGCAGTTCCAATTCAAAATTTGAAACAGAATTTTTTTCCATCTTTAGTAAGAAAAAAAAAAAAAAAAAACGAAAGATTTCTACCGGAAACACCACAAATTCTTGTGATAATGTTAACAAAATGAAAAAAAGAACACAAATAATACTATGATAGTATAATAAAAAGTTCAATGCTTTGGAAAATTATTTTCATTTTAGTAAAAAAAAAAAAACCCCAAGTGGTAGGCTTTTTAAAGTCAAACGGATCGATTCGAAAACATTTAAAAAGAGAAACAAAAGGTGGAGAATTCATTGCATTATATTATCACATATGATAGATCAAAGAGCAATAATTGAAGCTCGCATTTAAGTTTTATCAACTATGTTAAGACATCGTCTACACTGCGAATAACAATACAAAAAAATGAATAAAGACAAATATCATCATAGATTTATGATTTGGAAAATGTTTATAAAAGATTTGAGAGTAATGCCGCATCCGCCGTTGCCTCGAATATTAGAAAAATCAGAATATTCTTTATCGACTTGACACTCTGAAGAGGAGGAGGATTAAAGAAAGAAATCAAAAGTTGAGATGTAATAAAGAATCTATAACTAGTTGAGGTCTATATTAGGAGGACACAAACAATGCATCAGGCATTTATTATCCATTCGAGATTTTGAAAATGCTTGTGAAAATTTGCAAATAATATATTCTTACAGGTAATCTGTAACGAACTATTAGTTCCCTTAGATATTAGATACTAAGTTAGGGTAGGAAAAATAAGAACAAACAAAAATATTTTAGACATTCCATGTACATGAGAGGAGTTAATAAGAACTTAAGTTGTAGCTATTTGAACTCTTCATCGAAATTATAAAGAATTAATTAAAATATATAGTCTATGTAAATCCATTCGAGATTGAGTGTGTGTGTGTGAGGCTTAAGATAATTGAAAAATTAATTAAAATAATCTATAACTATTCCGAGCTTCTTTAGGTAGGAATAAATAAAAATAAAAAAAAATGTGTTTTTATTCATTCGATACTTGGAAGAAGGGCTTAGAAGGGCTCGAAAAAAATTAGGAATAAAAAATAATCTAAAAAAATATTTCATATATCTTTGTTTGAGACACTGAACGATGAACAATGTATGAATGGGAATTTAATGTCTATTCGATGACCTTGAAGAGACTTGAGGAGGGGGGAAATTTAATTATAATGAATAGCTACAACTATTTGTGGGAAAAATATTTGATAAATTCAATCTAAAAGTAAGGAATAAACATTATGATCTATAACTAACAAAGCGACAACAAGTAACCGGGTACTTATTACCCACCCATTTGAAGATTTGGAAAAGTAATGGATTATGGATAATCTATAGCTATTGGTGGTTGTTGTACTTTGATTACGAACAACAAGAAGAATTAATAAAAATAATTGATGAATTCAATAAAAAAGTAAAGGAAATAAACGCGTGTCCTATAACTAGTTTGATTGCCTATGTTGTTTAGAAACAAGAAGAGACAACAAGAAACGAGGAACTTATTACCCATTTGAGATTTTGAAAAGACTTAACACTACATTTATGAATAATGTAGTATGGATAATCTATAGCTATTGTTGTTGTTCTTTATTGCGAACAACAAGAATTAATAAAAATATTTTATTGAATTGAAATTTTCAAGGGCCTTATTAAGACGAATACGGGGAAATAACGAATAAACTAATGATTTATAATTATAATTTGCTTCTTACTATTCGTTATACAAGAAACGAATCGGGAGTTTGTTGCCCATTCGTCATTTGTAAAGGAATTTAAGAAATGTAAATGCAAGGGAGATCTTCCATTTTTTTTAGAATGCTTTTTTAGAAGGATCTTAGGAATATGTCGTGTAATTTAATATATTTCCTCCTTTGAACTTTATTGGAAGCGGAGAGAATAATGTATCAAAAATTTGTCTTATCTTTTTGAAGGATTGATAGTAATAAATGCCTTGTAATTTGTAACTGTTTTTTTTTTTTTTTTTTTTTTTTTTGTAGTAGAAATGCTTGAATAAAGTATTTTTAAGAGATTTTTCCAATTTTTCTTAAACACTTCAAAATTAAAGGAAAACTTCATTATATCTGCTCTTGTCTTTCCATCATAAGCAAATTATTAGGTGGCGAAAAGTGAAGAAGGTAAAGAGGGAGAAAGAAGAGAGCACGCACAAGCCTTTTGCTGAGGTTTAACACCTGTTATCATCATTCAAACGGAATTGGACGACAAATATTAATATTAAAATGTTTGTTTGTTTGTTTGTTTGTTTGTTTGTTAAAGCAGACACACTTCTCCAATAAATTGTGTGATCAGTTCCTTATAAATTTTTACATAAACTAAAAATAATTTAGAAATAAAGTGAAATTTTACATACATATACATATATATATATATATATATATATATATATACGTAATGAAAAGTATGAAATTTACAAATGCTATGATGAATTATATAATTTTTTTTTCATTTCTAAACGAGAGATTTAAACGAGTTCCGAACTCGAGAATCGTTTCAAAAGAGAGACGGAGAGGGAGACTTAAACGACTTCCGAGCACGAGATTCATTTCAATCTCTCATCGGGGCATTGTCTGTCCTCCTGTTAACTTTAAATACATATTCACATATATTTTTGCATATATATTTTTGCATTTCTATCAAAAAGTATGTACAAAGTATGTATCGTTGGTTAATGTCTTGCAATTAAGTGAAGGGAAAATGTTTTGAATTCTTTTTTTCTGTTTTTTTTTTTTTGTGTGTGTAGAATTCTTCGAATTTTCGAATTAATTTCAAATTTCAAATCTTATTTAAACTAATATTACTTTTTCGTGAAAGCTATATTATATGACGATAATATTCTCGCCCGAAATTTCTGCATCGTGAAAGCAGAGAAATTTTCAATTTTTTTTAGTAGAAAATTGACGTCAAAGGAAGTAATATTAAAATAAAGTAAAACATAAACATACGAACTAAAAAGGGGAAACTCGCAAAGACGAAATTAAGCGTATTTTGTATATATATATATATATATAATGGAAATTGTTTAAATTTGAATTCCTCTTTTCGTTGATCGAAGAAGAGGAAGAAAGAAACCGTCAGTGATTTTCTTTAAGACTTTTTAGAGAGTGAGAAAGAGAGTGGGTGCGAGAGAATGAAAGAGAGCGCGATTTTTGATGATATTATTATGATAAACAGATATTGTAAAAAAGAGCAACATAAAAATTCAACAACTTTGTTAATCGGCGGCTCTAGCAATGAAAAATTTGTTCGTTCAACAACTTTACAAAATTATTGCTTTTCTTATCGCTCTAAATGATGCGATTGACTAATTGCATTTTGCGCCGATTAGTGGATATGGTTGCAGATAACTGCTGTTGTTGGTGTTGCGTTTGGGTTAACAATCCATTAGCAAGGGTTTTTTGCACAATAATTTGCTGCTGTTGCAGTTGCTGTTGCAAATGTTGCAAATCATGTGCATTTTGTACTTTAATAATTTTTTTTACATTCTGTAATTGTATAGTCTGTTGTTGTTGGTGTTGTTGTTGTTGTTGCTGCTGCTGCTGTTGCTGTTGCTGTTGCGTTTGTTGTTGCGTTGATTGAGATTGTTTATCACTTACCGCAGCAATTGTGTAACTAACACGAGCCCGTTTCGGCGACTGATGATTTTCATCGTGACTTACATTCGTATTGTAATCAGCCGGATTTAATTCGATTATATCTGATTGATTAAGGTTTAGACGTGCATCATCTTTATCATCTTCAATGTCTATGGTATCGTATATATCTTCTACCTGTAAATATAAAAAAAAAAAAAAAAAAAAATTTCTCAATTTTTTCAAAAATCTCTCGCTTACTTATTAAGGAATTTTAATTTACCTCATTATCAAAATTGTGCGTTACATTTGTATTCGTAGCCATCGTTTGATTATTCATTTTGCCGGACATTGTCGTTGTATTTGTCATTATAATAGTTTCTGGTTCGGAGGTATAACTTGTCGCGTTGGATTTATTCACATCACTACGATTTTCATTATTAAAATTATCCTGCTGGATTAAATCGCTTGTACTCATCATAACAATGTTATTCGATATCAAGGAGCTGCTATTAAGTCCTTCTTCATCTTCCATTTCATCTTCGATAAGCATATTATCAACTAATGTCTCATCCAATTCTTGTTCTTCTAAATCCGATGTCTCTTCTATTTCCGATTGGCTATCCAGCTCGCCATCGGAATCGCCAGTGCTGCCATGTTTCATTTCACCACGTTCCAATGCCTCCAAATTGTCGGGGCAAACCATAGCATTGCGAATAGCCATGGGATCTTTTCGCGACCATTTTTGTACCTCTTCATCCATTTTCGTGATACGTTCCGGATTCATGGCCCATAAGCAACCTTTGCGTTGATAACCGTTGGTTAAAGGTTTTTCAATTTTCTCAAAGCATTTATTCAATGACAAATTGTGACGGACACTATTCTTCCAGCCGCTAGGTGCAGTCTTAAAATATGGAAAATGTTCGCACATGAAACTGTAAATTTCCGAAACGGGTAAAGAACCGCGTCGCGAATTTTTCAGAGCCATCGCAATTAAGCAGGAATACGAATAGGCGGGTTTTGGATATTCGGATTCGATGGGTGCGGCTTTAATTTTTTGTTGTAAAGATTTCACAGTCATGCCATTGGCGATATTGGAGCAAGACGACAATGCAGTAGAGCTAGTATTTGAAGTAGTTAAACCATTGCTAAAGGTACCAATGCCGCCACTAATTGTTGTCGTAAAATTAGTGACTTTACCATCACCAGGCGAACTTGTCGCGGAGCTAACGCTAAGATGCTGTTGCATAAATGCTGTATGTGCGTTCGAAGCAATTGATTTTGGTGTGAAACCCGCAGAAGATTGGATTCCTTGGCGGGAAAGCAATTTGGCCACATGCTGGCTAACGGTGGTCGGACTGTTCAAAGTAGCGTGGTGCAAAGGACTAGATGAATCTCTTTCACGTTTTAGTACAATGGAACCATTAGCAGCGACAGCAGCTGCAGACTGTGATGACTTTTGACTTGAGTCCTGTTTTATTTTATTGAATGTGAGGTTATTGGCGAACGATAAACTACCTATGCCTGGGCCCAATTTAATAGTACTTGTCGATGCGCTATCATTACTAATATTATTGTTACTAACGTGCGAGGTCGAACTGCACGGCACGGCTTTATAAATACCAGTATCCGATAATTTACGCATTTCTCCACTTAAATCTTTTTTGACAGCCTCCACGGAATTTGTATTTTTACGTTGCAATACCGTATTTGTGGCTAAAGTAGCTGGGGCAGTAGTGGCTGATGTCACCGTGGATGATATAGCAACAATTTGTTTGGGTATATGGGATGTCAACTGTTCGTTGCGTAACGAATTCGCTTTTATTTTCATCTGAGCTGGTGAGAATGTTAAATGTGATTTCGCATCATTGGTGCTTGGTGAGGACGGAGGGGGCGTATTTTGATGTAAACCATTCGCGTTGGTGCCAATTTTGGTAGTCATATGAGGAAACGATGACGAAATTAATGGCATTACGGATATTGGATTGACGCAAGCTCCAACATCGGCATAAAAATCGCTACTCGAACCAAACCAAAACGCTGACGAATTGGTTGAGGTCGTAAAACCAAATGTAGCTGCCGTTGAGGATGAGGGCATATGCGCAGAATTTTCATTAAGCGATGAAGATTCTTTCAAGTGATTGCTGTTATAACATAAGCTGTCGGTGACATGATCAAATGATGACGATAGACCATCGCTACAACCGTCATACTCCGTTCTACTATTTACAACGTTAGCTATTTCAGTTCGTATATCAACATCGAGCATATCTTGTAAAGAATCTGATATGTAAAAGTCCAATGTTGGACCTGATGAATCCTAAAAATAAAATCAAAACAGAAATGGCAATGTTGTAAATAAAATCATCCATCGAGGAGGAGTTCATTAAAGCTTTCCCTTTTTTTTTTTTTTTCTTTTTCACGTTGAATTCTTTTTGGATTAAAAAAAAAAAATATAATGAAAAATTTTAAATCATTAGAGGAGAGATATTTAAAGACAGCTTCTTCCCTGGGACATTATATTTTAAGTAAGTGAAACGATCTTTTCTAATTTGCGACAGTTGACGATTAGGTGTTCATAAGGGGTTTTCAAGTCTGTCACATATTTCGCATAAAATTATTCCGAGTAGATTTTGTCATTTATTCTCAAGGCAAGGAATGTATAGTAGAAGAGACAATCATTCTTCGCGTGTGACTGATTTCTTCATATTCGTTACAGAGGGCATGGGCATGCATTATTTCTTTGGGAGTATATATATTTGATGAAGAAAATTTCAACATGAAAGCTGTGCTTGCCGTGAATGAGGAGTACATTACTCTCTTATTTAAACTGAAGAAGCTTTAATTCAATTAGCAAAATTAGTTAATTAAATCATAGAATTAAAAAAGGAAAAGTTAGAACAAACTAATCGAAATAAGCCTGAGATAATATAAAGAAGAAGAAAAAATTAAAAACAAAATTATGAAGAGACACAGGCAAGCACAGGCAGGCAGTAAGTAAGAGTCTTTAACGAGCAAATAATTTGAATATACGTGGCGGGAATCAGCTTTGTTAAGACTACTTTTCATATCAAAATATATACAAATAGTATTTTTTTTTATTATTATTTTTTTTTTGGTAAACATTAAACCAACTGAGTTTGTTATATTTCGTCTTCGATTCAAAACAAACAAAGAAACCACATGTTAGTTATGAGTGTTCAGCGATTTCGTTTTCATGGCACACCAAATATACATGCTATCCATAGATGCACATACGTAAGCATATATATATATATATGTATACGTATATATATAGGGGTTCGTATCGGCATATGTGCATTTGCGCTCAACTCCGAGTACGCAAGCATTCGCTCTCTTTAGACTTTATACAGGGTTTTCAATAAGCGTAATAGAATTTCTTTGAGAAAAAAAAAAAGAAAAAACCGGGAAAACATATTTGAAAAGCACAATAACAATTTTCTATTATTTTAAAATGTGGTCGACAGAACACAAGTTCATTTATGACGCCGCCAATCGTCAAATGACTGACCGTAGAGCACCGACATCACTTTAAGCAACGAGATTTCGGGCAATCCAATTTTCGAGCGCTACCTTGACCAAATTCAGCTTAATTTCAGCAAATAACGCATACATACGCCAAGTACATCAAATCTCCTCACAGCAAGTACCTGAAAGGAGTTAATTACACGACTCCTTGAAGGCCATTCGATACCAGAATTTTCTGAGATTATTTGCGCCATCAAACTCATCACATAATTGGTCAATTGTTTGTCGTATTGTATAGTCTAGATGCCATAGTCTAATTCAATCCGTAAAAAATACGTAATTATCAACCTATACGGGATCATTTCCATCTTCAAAGGAATAAGGATTCGCTGATGCTTTAATGATGCCGCCAACAAGAACGTCGTAACCAAGCAGCCACTTTTATTGTACACAAGATTGTGTGTCTTGTGAATAATAATTGACTTTTATTGTTGCTTGAATCCGTTGACATAAAAATGACCCTCAAAAAAAATTCGTCATCGTTTGCGACTTGATATAACACAAAATCAGCGAGTTGAGGACGTTTCATGAAAAGCCAAATTAAACTCACAGACAATCCTAATCGTCGAAAACAACTTTGAATCGATGAATTTTCAGCTTATAACGACTCTTGCATCGATATTTTCATCCTTTGAAGCATTTTAATGTGTTACTGACCACACATGAGTCCTGTACAAAATTAAATACACTCGAAATAATACGATGTGCTGCTTGGCGAGCAAAGCAGGACGTCTTTGAAGACACAAACTATGACAAACTATGACGTGCGAATGAACAATTTTGAAAATGTTGTTAAGCCGTATATAGCTTTTATTGATAGGATTGACAACACTACTACTAGTGCGGAAAGAGTGATTTTGATGTTTAATATGCGGGCGCAATGTCTTGTAAAATAAAAAAATCTCATATCACCCCCGTTAAAAAACCCGCCATTGTGCCTTTGCTGTCGCGTAGACAAAAATTCAAAATAAACAAAGAAACCACATGTTACTTATAAATGTTCTTGGATTTTTGTTTTCTACATAGCACATCAGAATATCATATAAATATGTTATATACATATCGAAGTGTGAACCTACATAAAATATATTATATCATATGATGCACACGTATATGTAAGTAGATAGCGGAATATATATATATATATATATATATATTCATGCATTTTCGTACTCACACTCTCGCTCTCATTAACATCTGTATTTAGGTACAGAAAGACTATTAACATTGTTTGTTCCATTGCTTCCATATACATATTACAGTGAAGCAATTTACAACAACAATGCTTACATATAAATGCTGTTAAATAATTGCTCTATACATCTGCGACTGCTAACACAATGAATTGCAAAATAAATTTTTCACACATGTACACACATGAATATAAGTCTCTTTGCATAGGAGAAAAATAAGATTTTTCGAAAATTAAAATCTTTCTCTACCTAAGTGTGTTTTCGAGTTAACTGCTTGATATTGAAAGATTTCTCTTTCGCTCTTCATTAATTTATGTTAAGATATTATGCTCTCAAGTTTACTCTTTATACTTAAAATTCACCACTCTACTGTAGAAACAACAGTGTGCGTGTCTATCGTGTGTGTCCGAAAAGGTGCTGGGAAAAAAGGAATTGCACAACAATAACAACAACAGTAGCTGTATGTAGCTGCTACACCGATAACACCAGATACATTTTTTTTTCAGGAAACATTTTAGACGACTAATACTAAAAGAGTTCAACAACAGCAGTGGGTACAGTTGATACCAAAACATCAATGTTGATGGTGGTGGTAGCTGTTCCACTCCACTCCGTATATATTTTCAAAGTACTATTCAAAGTACGTGCATTCGTCGCACGGCATGTATGTGCCTTTTGCCTATATATATATACACATATACATATATATATATATATATATATGTAGATAGAACATGCTGCTTACATACTGTAAAGTTTGTTGTTCGATTTGCTTAGTCGACGACTGCTTTGTTTGACTGCCAGCCATGAAATTTTTTTTTTTTTTCTTTTTGTATGAAGGGCAGAAGTTTGGTTCGTTGGATGAACGGATTAAATGGTTGATTGCCCAATTTTTCTGTCTTGCTGTTTGAATGCTGTTCACTCGTTCGTTTTACTTTTGCACAATGAGTAGAGAATGGGGTTTTTATGGGAAATTTATTTTACTTAAGTACGATTTTCGAGAAGATTTTCCCAGAATAAATTATAAAAAACACCATGCAATGGCGTTAAGATTATTCGTAAATATTTGTTAAACATTCTTTGAGGATTTTAAGTATACTCAAGATGCATGCAGTCAATGTCCCGATTTTTACTTTTATTTTCATTAAAAAAAAAGAAGAAGTTCTCTTTTAAACAAAAATTTTCAAAGTAAATTTTAATAAAATATTACATCTTGTACGTACGACGTTGAGCGGAACTAACAACAAGTAGGCATTTGATTGTGAGAATTTTTTAGAAACTTACAACCAATCGGCCATTTTATCTTACGTGCGAGCAAAAGGAAATATACGCAAAAAAAATTTTCTTCTCACAACCTACATGTGTTGTTTAACGAACATAAGATTTCAAATGAATTTGGTTAGAACAACAACGTTTCGTCCGTACGTTAATTTCTCAATTGAAACAAACAACAACAAACCGGCATATTTTTGTTTGAACGATTTTTCAATATTCAGCATCTTTTCTTTTTTTTTATGTCGTACATGTTAACGAGTCGTCGTTATCGATGATTATTACACTGAACCTTTTTACATGTGTGTTAGCTATAGTAAATTGAAAAATATATACTTTGTAAATATCCTTTGAACCGTTTTTTTTTTTATATATTACAGGTGCAGCATTTCCAATGTAGTAAATGTCGTGTTGTTTACTAACAAAAAAGTCATTTTTCATCGAGAAAGCACATTTGGCGCGGCTCACGCCGTCAAAGAATGTGCTCTCATAATGCGCCTTCTGCTTAGCTAACATACGCCCTCACTACTGGTGCTAAAGACCCCTCCCTCCCCTCTCGTTTATCAACGTCCGGTCATAAAAACATATAGAAGTTTTTTCAGCTATAAAAATGTATAAAATCTCAAGTTCTTTTGGAGCGCTTGGTTTTATTTCAGAATTTAATAAAAGTAAACGAAGCCTGCTAAGCCGCAACTAAGTAGTAATTGTAGCTCATAGGGATTTACAAGCTTTTGCAAAAGCCGCTATCGGGTAAACACAACTTCTTTCTTTGTCGAATATTCAAGAGAAGAAACGAGCAGACGAGTTGCGAACTATAACTTTGACAGAGCATCTTCGCCATCAAACAGTCAAACAACAAAGGAGGAGTGAGTTTAACCCAAAAGTGTTTTTTGAGATTGAGTGAAACATTCCAGTTACCCGCAAGGGGACAATATATTGAAACGAAAGAAAAGTTTTTTATTTTTCAATTTTTAAACAACTATTTGGTTGCGCCTCGTTTCATATGCAATTTATGAACACAACTATTGATCAGTCTATGTACTATGCACACTTGATCAATCCATTATCCAGCAGTTAATTTTTTTTATGCATTTAAGTGTCTCTCCATCCATCCACCGATCTGTTAATTCGTTCGTATCACTATTCGTTTATTTTTACAAAAGTTTTTGTATTTGTCGTCCATTGTCGTCGACCTAAGAGACCTTCTATTATCGACTTTATTGATGTCAAGCTATTAAAACAGTGCTACGACGAATGGATTTCAAACCTTTTGCTCTCTCTTTTATTATGAGTTTTTTTTGTTTTT